ATTATTCAGGATAATATAGTCTAGGAGGTAGTTGTATTTCTTCTCATTAGCTAAGAAAGGTCTTAAACTACACCCAAGTTTTGCATCCGTGTTAGTTCTGCTTGGACTGATGCAGAGTTGTTCAGGCTACTGGACAGGTAGGCTAAAGGGTTTTTTGTTTGTTTCAAGCTGTGTTTCTTTTGGCTTTTAGGAATTAAATGCCCTGCTGTGATTCACTGGAGGGTTCCAGAGCTGAGGCAGGCAACCAGTGGCTTATGCAAAAATGATTGTCTCTTTTCTCATTTAACAGAACCTTGAATTGGAACTAATTGGAGAGGATGCTGCTCTTGGGTGGAGGGTACAGGTGTTCTCACCATGGTGTATTGACTTTAGTTGGATGGGTAGCAGGAAAGATACTTTTCTGGGCTCTGTTCCAATGCTGTTTTGTTTAGGCCATATTATAAGCACATGAGATGGGTAACAAAACTGACATATGTTTTTGTGCCCCGATATAGGAGAGCTTTTATGCTTGCTAGGTTGAATTCTGTACCATCTCAAGTAATGAGTAATTGTTATGGGGGAAAGTGCCTTACTCAAGAGAGGCTATGCTGATATGCTTCTGGGAAGACTGATATTATGGAGCATATCTTATTGGAATGTCCCTTTTCTCAAATGTGAGAGATTTGTGGATTGCTCCTTCTCAGGAGGGAGGATTCGGAGGTTGCTTAGGTTGTTGTGGAAAAAAAAATCATACATTATAGGGAGTAGAAGATTACTTCAAGATGTCTTTTAGACCTGGTTTACGCAGATTTGAATGTGGCACTCCTCAAAACCTATAGGTTAAATGAGTTGTGTCATTTAAGTAAGTATATATGTATCTCTGTGTGCGTGTGTGTGTATATATGTTTAGAAATGTATTAAAAACCATCAAATACATAAAATTAATCCAGCAGTCGGGCTACTGAAAGGTTAACAGTCCCCATTTTTTAAATTCAATTCATAGGCACTCTGAAACAATAAGAAAAGCTTTGCATACTCTCTTGAGAGCTGATCACTCAGGAGTCAAGCTGGGAGGAACTGGGTTGATCTCTTCTTGCTGAAAGGGCGTCCAGCTGATTTATATGGCGTCTTGCTCTTTGTTCTTTTCCATATAGATCCCTCATTTCTCTGCATTCTGAACTGCGCCCAAGAGTATGGGCGAGCCTGTTGTGAGGGATCTAGAGCTCCGAGGGGCTCTGTGGCTGGGGATTGCATCCCAGAGGTCCTCCATAAAAGAGAGTACCGGGCCTGAAATGATCCTGCCCTCAGGCCTGGTCCAGAAGCAAACAGAGCTCCAAGTTTGAAGGGTCTTGGGTG